GCATTCGAGGCCGGCCAGCCAAAAAAAAAAAAAAATTATTTTTGGCCGGTTTGACCGGTCGGCCGCCGATTTGACTGGTCAGGCGCCGCATGATCGGTCTTGTTGGAAAGTATTTTTTCGCCGGAATTATTCAGAGGTGTTTTCGAAATTTTTCGAGGCTCGGTTTGACCGGTAAATAATTTTAAAGAGGGACATCTATTATTTTTAAAAAAATGTATAAAGGGCAAATTAGTCTTTTAGGGGACGGTAAATATCAAAAAGGGGGCGGTGTTTAGCGGTTCACTTTATTTTGCTACACTCTACGGGCTATTTTATTTGGCTGAGAGTTTTATTTCGGGAGGACTCCACTGGCAGAGGACGCCACGCAACAACGTTAATTAGAGACCAAGAATTTTTACGGGACAAAAAAAAAAAAAGAACTCACGAAAGCCGAGAGCATGAAAACGGGGGAGAACTGAGAGTCACGCACGACGAGAGGAAAAGACACACGCGGATTGAAACCGTACCCGCTAGAAATGTTAAATGGTCCTTGTCTCGATAGGCCGGCCCGTTTAACCCGAAAAAAAAAATAGGTTAGGTCTTTTATTAGTAGCCCATTTAAATCAGGACTTTTTAGGCCCGGACCGTTTAGCCGAAACTCGCTAGGACTGGCCCGTTCAATTAGGGTTAGGCGGTGTAAATGTTGGCATCAAGAAAGTAATATGCTCTTAAATTACTTGTTATTACAATTTTGGTATTCCACTTTACATATAAGTATGAGTTGTAATGAATTATTATGATTTTGAAAGATAATTATTAACTATATTGTTATTGTACTTCATACCAAAATATTTGAGTCAATCAGTACGAATAATAGGAAACACATGAAACGTAGTGATAGACAGTAAATATTAAATAGCCGTTGAAAACAATTTTTAACTAGTCGTTTTTTTTTTACTGTTTTTATTTTTGATTTTTGATTTTATTATTTATTATAATTATTATTACTATTATTATAGCCCGCATAGCCCATTTAGCCCAA